CAACAACACCTAATATAAAATGATAAACAGGTTGAAGTTTCAGGGTAAATAAAAGCATTCTTTCAGGGTTGTCCCTATTATCTCTGGAGGCAATTATGCATAGCTTGTATCCCATCTCTTGGCAGTCTCACTCTCTCAGCTGTGGCTGCAGCTACATCAATCAGCCATGCTGTGCCTGCTGGCAGTGGGGCCTGATTGTGAGTCCTTGAGGACCTTTCTAACAAGTGACAGTTTTTCTGACTGTGTTAGAATTTAGGGCTACTTACCACTGGGCAGGGGAGTCACGGTGTGGCCCTGTGGGTTAATACACCAGTGAAACTGCATAGTTAACACGCTAGTGAAACTGCAAAGCCGTTTGAACTGCAAGGTCAGCAGTTCAAGCTCACCAGCTACTCCTTGGAAACCCTATACAGGGTCACGATGGGTCAGACCCAATTCGATGGCACTTCACAACAATAACAACAACCACTGGGCAGAAGGAGCTCTGGTAGCATAGTGGTTATGAGTTGGGCTGCTAACCTCAAGGTCAGCAGTTTGAAACTACCAGCCATTCCATGGGAGAAAGATGGGGCTTTCTGCTCCTGAAAAATTCACAGCCTCAGAAACCCTCTGGAAGGTCGGTATGAGTCAGAAACGACTACCACATAACTGCCACCACCACCAGTCAGAAAGAATTAACCACTCCGATGAGAAAACGGAAGTTATGAGCAGACAAATGTCCAGCCTTTCAGGAATGGCCCTTCAGAGAGTTTAATCTGTGCCTTTGTCTCCAGGAATATTGAATCTTCATTTTCAGAAAATGAGCATTCAGAATTCTCCTTATGGTCTTATCTCATAACTTTAAGGAATTCCTTCATATGTTCATGTTAAATCTTTGTTACTTTCATCTTCATTGGAGGTAGCATGTATCCGATCCTATGCTACCTTATATGTGGTTAGTGTGTTCCTTTTTAACTTTCAGTTCTGCTGAGACCATTCCTCTTCATTTTTTTCTTCTTCTACTCTCTTCTATACACACTCTCAGTCTACCTCCTTTGGTAGTCTATTTTTAAACTCTTTTCTTCTCCCCTTTGTTGATAGGCTCTGCAATTCATCTACTTGTGGTTGGACAACGTCTGTTTCACACATTCCTATATTCCTCTTAAGAATAATTCTCCTATTACTGCAATTCCCTGTAGCTCTAGATTCCCTCTATGGTGTGATTTCCTGGTAAGGACAAGGTTGTGTCTGGGTAGTAGGCAATTCCATCATTTTCCTTTTGGAGTACTCCACAGAGGCCTTGTACCTAGGACTCCTCTTCTTGGGGGCCCATAAAAGGCAGGGAAAGAAAGAGAGCGCTGCTTAATGTAAGATGTGGCCTGGCTGTGACTGGGGCTGAGGTCAGAGTCTGCATAAAATATCATCAAGCCATACTCCAAAGAATGCTGGGATTTGCCCTAGAAGAAACTGAGGTTTGACCCAAGGAATCACTAGGACCCACAGGAGTATAAGTGCTGAACCGTGATTTGTTCTTCCAGAGATTCTGTGATAGCCAGCCTCTGTAACTGTCATTTAGGGTTGACCATCAAACATTTGTCTAAGTAAATGGGACAATCTTATGGAAATTATATCCTACCTCATTCTGGTGTTCTGGCTGGCATGATGTTTGTCACGGAATCTTCATGGCCAGTAATAAGGAAGATCTCATGGTGTTTGAAGAAGAATCTGGTCCAGGGAAGACAGTCTGATCAGGTGGGCCACTCTGTAAGGAAAAGTGTCTGATTTTATTATATTTTAGCTGAATATCTACTTAGATAGTATCCTTAAATTATGAGTGTATAGCACTTAATAGCACAACTGTGAAACTTTTGTTGTTAGATACCATTGAGATGGTTCTGACTCATAGTGAGTCTATGCACAACAGAACAAAACACTTCCTGGTCCTGTGTCAGCCTCACAATCTTTGTTAAGCTTGAGCCCATTGCTGCTGCTACTGTGACAATCCATTTCATCGAGGGTCTTCCTCTTTTTCACTATCCATCCACTTTACCTAGCATGATGTCTTTCTCCAAGGACTG